TTAATTTGGTAACATCACCTCACAAACAAATTTAAATTTTGTCCGCTTAATATATGAATAAACAGCACCCCATAGGCTAATCGGAGGCCGAACTCCGTACTCTCTAGACCTTTATTTAAGGAGGTAATCAGCAGAAATCTCATTTCATTAAAACATTTTTAAAAAAAACAACCACAAACTTGACTGATACACCGCTGAAACCTACATTTAGAACATAACAATCTGGGTGCGGCGATGGCATAGTGGTTAGAGCATCCGCCTCGCATGCAAGAGGTCCGTGGTTCAAATCCCGGTGCCGCGCAGTTCCCAACAGGAAAAAAAAATATCCGCGTGTTGATGGAACTGCATTAAGAGGCCTGAGATGCGGCCTCACCGGTAACCACCGCCGGGAACGCACTCCCTCACCAGAGAAGGATTGGCCACCCTGGTGCAGTATCTGGCCACTACCTCCCACATGCATACGTCAAATAACTCACGGCCCTCAGTTCCCAGCAGCTGCGAAGCAACTGACCATGGCGGCGGTCAGATCTGCAACGCAGCAGAGGGTGATAAGAATCTCTGGACTACAGGCCACCATTGCAACCAATAATTGGCAACGTTTAACGCTAGAACCTTATGTAGTGAGGGAAGTCTAGCTGTTCTATTCGAGGAGCTAGAGGGTGTTAATTGGGATATAATAAAGCTCAGTGGGGTTAGGAGAACAGATGAGGCCTCTATTGTGCTACAGAATGGGCACGTCCTTTGCTATTGGGGCTTGGCAGACAGAAGAGAACTGGGAGTGGGTTTCCTTTCACAGAAACATAGCTGGCAACATAGAGGAATACTATAGCATTAATGAAAGGGTTGTAGGTATTGTAATTAAACTGAATAAAAGATACAAGTTGAAGGTAGTACAAGCTTACGCGCCTACATCCAGCCATGATGATGATTCAGTTGAAAGCTTCTATGAAGACGTGGAATCGGCAATGAGTAAGGTAAAAACACCGTATACTATAGTGATGGGCGACTTTAATGCAAAGGTAGTGAAGAAGCAGGCTGGAGACCAGGACGTAGGAGATTATGGCATCGGCACTAGAAACGCCAGAGGAGAGCTACTAGTAGAATTCGCAGAACGCAATAATTTGCGGATTTTGAATACTTTCTACCGAAAACGACAAAACCGCAAGTGGACATGGAGGAGCCCTAATGGCGAAAATCAGAACGAAATAGACTTTGTAAAGACTGCACACCCAGGAATCGTGCAGGATGTGGAAATGGTTGGCAAGGTACGATGCAGTGATCATAGAATCACACGGTCTCCAATTCGCCTAGACTTGAAGAAGGAACGACAGAAACTGATACGCTAGTAGCCAATCAATGAGCTATCACTGAGAGGGAGAGTACAGGAATTCAGAGTGTCGCTGCAGAACAGGTACTCGGCTGTTAGTGAGGAAACCAACCTTAGCGTAGATACAATGAATGATAATCTAACGAGTATCATTACGGAGTGTGCAGTGGGAGTTGGAGGTAGGGTAGTTATACAGGACACTGGCGAGCTTTCCCAGGAAAGGAAGAACCTAATTCAGAAGCGTCAAAGCAAGAAAGTGTCAAGTAGAACAGACAAAATAGAACTGGCAGAGCTTTCAAAGTTGATTAATAGGCGTAAAGTATGCGATGTAAGAAGGTATAACATGGAGAGAATTGAACACGCTCTGAAAAATGGAGGAAGCGTCAAAGCAGTGAGGAGGAAACTTGGGATAGGCAAAAGTCGGATGTGTGCACTAAGGGACAAAGAAGGCAAAATAACTACCAATATAAATATGATAGTTAAAATAGCGTAGGAGTTTTACAGAGATCTGTACAGTGGCCGAGACAACCACGACTTTAATACTATAAGAACTAGCAGTAACCCAGATGACACCCCACCGTAATGATAGAAGAAGTCAGAAAAGCTTTAGAGAGCATGCAAAGAGGCAAAGCTGCTGGTGAGAATCATCTAACATCAGATCTGCTGAAAGATGGAGGACAGATTGTGCTAGAAAAACTAGCCACCCTGTTTACGAGGTGTCTGCTGACGGGAAGGGTACCAGAGTCTTGGAAGAACGCTAACATCATCTTAATACATAAGAAAGGAGATGACAAGGACTTGAAGAATTACAGCCCGATCAGCTTGCTCTCTGTAGTATACAAGCTATTTACAAAGGTAATTGCTAACAGAGTAAATAAAACATTACAATTCAATCAACCAAAGGAACAAGCAGGATTTCGAACAGCCTACTCAACAATTGACCACATTCATACTATCAATCAGGTAATAGAGAAATGCTCAGAGTATAACCAACCACTATACATAGCCTTCATAGATTATGAGAAGACGTTTGATTCAGTAAAAATATCAGCCGTCATGCAGACACTGCGGAATCCGGGCGTAAATGAAGTATATATAAACATACTGGAAGAAATCTACAGGGAATCAACTGCTACCATAGTGCTTCATAAAAAAAGCAACAGAATACCAATCAAGAAGGGTGTAAGGCAGGGGGACACAATCTCCCCAATGCTATTTACCGCGTGCTTACAGGAGGTTTTCAGAAGCCTAGAATGGGGACAGTTAGGGATAAGAGTTAATGTAGAATACCTTAGTAACCTGCGCTTCGCCGATGACATTGCATTGCTGAGTAACTCAGGGGACGAATCGCAATTCATGATTACGGAGTTAGACAAGGAGAGCAGAAAGGTGGGCCTTAAAATTAATCTGCAGAAAACGAAAGTAATGTACAACAACCTCGGAAAGGAGCAGCACTTCAAGATAGGTAATAGTGCACTTGAAGTTGTAAAGGACTATGTCTACTTAGGGCAGGTAACCACCGCAGAGCCTAACCACGAGATTGAAGTAACTAGAAGAATAAGAATGGGGTGGAGTACATTCGGCAAGCACTCTCAAATTATGACAGGAAGATTGCCATTATCCCTCAAGAGGAAGTTATATAACAGCTGTATCTTGCCGGTACTTAGCTACGGAGCAGAAACCTGGAGACTTACAAAGAGGGTTCAGCTTAAATTGAGGACGACGCAGCGAGCAATGGAAAGAAAAATGGTAGGTGTAACCATAAGAGACAAGAAGAGAGCAGAGTGGATTAGGGGACAAACGGGGGTTAAGGATATCATAGTTGAAATAAAGAAGAGGAAATGGACATGGGCCGGGCATGTAGCGCGTAGACAGAATAACCGCTGGTCATTAAGGGTAACTAACTGGACTCCCAGAGAAGGGAAGCGGGTTAGGGGGCGACAGATGGTTAGGTGGGCAGACGAGATTAAGAAGTTTGCGGGTATAAATTGGCAGCAGCAAGTACAGGACCGAGTTAACTGGCGGAACATAAGGGAGGCCTTTGTCCTGCAGTGGACGTAGTCAGGCTGATGATGATGATGATGATGACTACTCCGAAAAACTTCGAGATAGTTTTTTAAAATACGGTCTTGCTAGTCTCTTGTTGGGATCACAGTAAAATCTAGCCATTCTAGAGCGCCATATGCTGGGCAAGGCAGTCATCATAATTAATTCAAAAGATAATCCTCCATCATTCTTCATTGCCAAATAGCTAATTCTAAGGGAATCTGACATAAAATTCCTTTTTTTCAATTGTTAATGTAAAAAAAACGTGGTCAATTGCTTGCAGTTTGCGGCAGTTTAGACAGTCAGATCCCAATGGCAAATAAACCCACGCTCCTCAAGGAACGTTCTTACTGGAAGTGTTTTAATGCGTAATTAAAAAAAGACCTTTTTCGCCCTTAGGCTGCCTGCGTTTTTTAACTAGTTCAAGTAAATTTTTACTTTTACGTGCTGCATTTAGCGTTCTGGTCAGAGAAATGGGGAGCACGGTGTCACATAAATCTTCGTACAGTTTTTTTCTTTCCAACAGACCACAAGTATTGAGTTGAAAAATGGACTCGCAAAAACCGCACGCTGGTCAGAACTTTCTTCATGTAGCCTTGCGCAGCCCCTGTCATGATTTGAGGGCTCACAACAATCTCAGGCAACAGTCTATCTAGTCCTAGTAGACACACTCTACGCAGGGAAGGATCCCTTGTCTCACGAAAAAAGGAAAATAGGTGTCCTTGCCGAAGGCCTCCACACTTCACCCATCGAAACAAATTTGTGCGACTGCACCTTCCGCAGTTAGAACCCCACACAAATATTGCGAATACCAGATGCAAATTTTTCATACTGACCCGAGAACAGCACTTGCATTGCGCACCATAGCTTGGCCACACACAAAAAACAGTTGCATACAGTAGCCCTAGCAAACATGGACAAATAAGTTGCTTTCCCTCCACACAACCACACACGTCGTCAAATTCGGTAATTATGTCTGCAAGCATCCTTGTAGCATCCAAGGACCAGCGTGGCTGAGGTCAGTATGGGCGATCAAACGAACCTGAGTGGCGCCGGTGTTCGGAATTTGTCTTCAAACTGGCCTTAGGCAGCCTTGATTTCGGGAAAAGAATCGTGTTATTATGAGTACTAAAGCGTTTTCGAACGTCGAAATAACAACCAGGCGTCGAAGAATGCGAACTGCGTAACGAGTGGATTGTACAATACTTCAACCCCGTTGAAAACTTGTCCTAGATCATTTATTAACTGTGGCGCGTACCCACTTAACGCATAAATCTTCATCGTCTTAAGTCAGTGCATAAAAAAGTTGCACAGAATTCCTTGCAAGTGTGTAGCGGATACCATGCTTCTCCGAAGAATTACGAAGCATAGTATAGTGAATATTGGCTTACTCCCCAAAAATAATGATTATCTACGGTGTAGTGGGTAACCAGCAATTGTAAGTAGTTACCCAAAGAGTGTTTGGAAAAGACTCCGAAAGGCCGCTTTTCCAGCTTTGGTTTGACTGTGCTGCGCGTACCGCACAGGCCTGTCGTTTTTTTTTGCACTGTAATATTCTTCAAAGGGCTGAGAGATGGAGATAAATATCTCAGGAGTGTAGAGATCAAAATGTCCATTTAGGGCTTACCTATAATAAGAAAGAATGTTGAAGAGGAGAATGACCGGAGCATGCTGTAGGTTTTTGTGCTTATCTGGAAGAGAAATTAACAATATGTTGTCACAATCAATGTTATAATATGGATCCTTAATGGGAAGAAGGTTGCTTATATAATAGGGCAGTGATTTGTGGTGGCGTCTTAAGAAAGCACTAGTCACATGATACAGGCAAGGATGTATAGTGCTACTTTAAAGTTTTAAGTCATCTGTGATTATTGTTGTTGTCATAAGGAATATAATGTTATCATGTGTCATGCACGAACTGTTGCAAAAATATTACTTAGATGTGGTATTATCAAAAGTACCTTATCAAGCTACTGCGTTGAGTCTTGCGTTGAGTACATTATGAACATTTTTCATCGTAAACAGTTCTGTAGTGGCGTAGCTAACGTTGTTACTCAGGCTCTTTTGTAAACCTACTATAAGTTCACACTTTTTGCTACTTTTTTCATAACCGTTTTCTTTTTCGTTTCATTGTATTTTTTATTCTTTTTTCTTTTTCTTGATTTTTGTAAAAGTGTTGCTCCGACTCCCCCTCTGTAATGCCTCTGGCCTTGAGGGTTATAATAAAATGGAATAAAATGAAATGAAACGGAAAGCTTTCCGCTAATATCCTTGTGCAGCTATTTGTCAACCAAACCAAAGCACCAGTCAAGCGCGACTTGATTCGGCATACACAAAGCGCAAAGTTTATTCCACTTGTCTAATCTTGGGGATGTTTTTGCTTTACCGGCTACTGACCACATTGTTAGATTTGCTAGTACTAAGGTTGACCAAATACAAAGACGAAAATTACTAACCATGAAATTAGCAAACTTCGCTAAAACGTAGCCAACTCTAACCAAGGCTATAGTAAAGGTACCGTCGAAAAATTGCACTATGTCCTACAAAAGGAAAGCATGAGTAGCATGTGGTGTATTCCATGGGTCGATTTGAATTTCTGCTCATTACAGGCGACTTGTTCGATGTTACCGTGTCCTTGAAAATGAAGCAAAGCGTAAATTCACTGTATTTTCTCTTGCTGTTACACGTTCCGTACTAGTACTGAAGCACTCCATGTAGGTTCATCGCCATGCGACGCTATGCAGGAGCACGTGCGTCTATCGTGCGTTTGCAGAATCTCGTTCCCTGACGCCATCACGTCACTGTTTCGAGTGGTCACCAGCCAGCTCGTATATATAGAAACTGAATCTTGACCTGCAATGTAGTGCTGGCCAGATGTTTATCTTATGCGTAAGCGAACGATAAAGATTGGCGCCGTGTGCATTCAGTTGAAGCGTACTGCATCCTCACCCCTCTTACACTCGAAGCGTCAAATGCGAGAAATAGGAGTGAAATGGAAATAGGTGCTGTATCTCGTCCATGCAAGCAACATATAGACCGCGGAAGAATTAACTGCAAAACGATCGTGTCATGTGCAAACTGAGGAAGGAACTGTTAGACCTTACGGAGCAACGTTTGCTCCCATGGCACTTCCCTACACAGCGGCAGCCTCGAAGGAATGGTCAACATGCGCGTAAGCGAATAGTTTATCAAAGAAGTAAGCTGTTAACAGTTTATTTAGTATAAGTAGTCGTAATAACAGTAGCAACTAGGTCAGGTGAAAAGTAACATTGTTTATATAGCATGAAAATGGGCAAACGTATAAACCTCCCTTCCCCCCCCCCCAAAAAAAAACGAGCTCGCGCTAAAGCTCCAACAATGCGTGGCGTATTGCTCTCGGCAAGCTAAACCTCGTTGATGTAGTGGTGTGTCGTGAATATATTATCGTTACGTGGTTGTGATTGTTATATCTTATGTTGCACTGAATTTTCTTTCATCTGTGGTAAGTGTGATCCGCTGCTTGAATCCTCTACGTTATCGAAATGCTACGCACTGACTGGGATGTCGCTGAGAGGCGAGTGTAAACAAGGCTGCAATCACTCTGAGAGATTGTACATGTGTGCTGTTGATACGAAACGATCACCGCTTGTTTAACACTTATGTTCCTCGTGAACAAAAGAGGCGTGGTTGTTTAGCCTGTGCAACGTAGCATTGTGAGTACTACCCCGCGTGCTATAGAATTACAAGCGTTATGGCTGGCCTCTATGAGCCCTTACAAAATTGAATTGAGACAGTCCGTTGAGCGCCTGTAGACTTCTTGTACTCATTATCGTTTTATAGAGATTTTACACTTTGTCTAAACGAAAGCTATTGTCAATCTATGGGCAACAGTTCACATATTGCATAATATTTTAGTTTACTTTTATTCAATAGTCTCTTTTTAAACAAAAGTTTTTAAATCACGGCCGATCTCGCAAGACGTGGTAATAATGACTGATGCACCAGAGGACGACGCTCCTGGTCTGCTCTTCCATTGTCACGCCTGTTATGGAGGCAGCCGTCAACCATGCAGACTTTCAAAAGAACCTTTGCGTTCTCCCAATCGTAAGTCGTTACGCGAGCACAGGTGAGCCGCCCGACCTCCTGGCAGAGCTCACGATGACGGCGATGCACTACTATTCCCCGATGCTTTTAAAGCAGGACAGCCACCGTGAGACGCGTGTCTGGAACGCAGGATCGTTGGTTACAACAGCATTGACGCTCAGTCCTACTACATCTAAAACAACTATGACAATACACCGGCGCAATCAACGCGCTCAGTGTAAAACAGAGCGGCCTTTTATCAGGCGTTCTGCTATGCAGCCACGCGTTGCATCCATGGCCTCCAAGATGGCGCAAGCACCTACTAGGTCTTCCCGACGCTATGGCCAACCACTTTCCATGCACATGACTACCCGCAGTGCACGTTGCACCGTTATTCTGGCATGACGTTTCCGCGTCCATCGACTGAGCCACCCGCGCCAGCACGCCAGCCGCAATCAAATACTGATGTAAGTGTTCCATCGACGCCGACTTCCACACCAGCACGACCGGCCCACTGCTCCTAGTTGACAGCCATGTCGGAGCAATGTGCGCTGTCGAGACGCCGCCGCGGCTGTTACACTTCAGTGCTCGGTCGGCATGCGTCTGAGTCCTTAAACCACACCATTTTGCCCACGTTGCCAGTGTGGCCACTTCAGCGTCTTCCCACGACTCCACTTGCGGCCACATTTGCCATCAGCGAGTGTTCCTGAAATGGGAAATTGGGCATGCTCAAGAGCGACCAGGCAGGTTATCATTGTGCTCGCTTGCATGCGACCGCAAAGTTTTGGAGTCTTTTTTCACCTCTGTCATTTTCTCAGTGTCGCCCGGCTAAAAATTTACTGGTTGCATATAGCCCCTCCCTGTTGGCAACCTGGACAGCTCACGGGCCTTTCCGTTTCACGAACCAAACGCACTTGTATATACTCTCTCACAGTTTTCGTTCGGCTTCGCTTCTGCGGAGAAGAGGGGGGGTAATTTGTTGTGTTATCATCATCATCATCTTAGTCGCCGCGTCACGCTTGTCATGCCAAGCTCGAGCTGCGCAAGCAAATCAGAACGAGTACACGCACCTGGCTTGGCGGGCGTTCGTAGCCACCGTCGCTTCACTTCAGACTACGAATAAAGTGGTGAGATCGGCACGGCCAAATTGGCCGTCTTCGCGATCTCGCCTCTCGTCTCTTTATACTCTTCACGCCACTACACCAACTTCATCACTTCTGCAAATGCAACCAGCATCAAAACCAACAAGTGAGTTTGGCTTACGCCATCACCTGATATGGCGTCTTACGCAACGGGTGGCAAGTTCCCAGTACCCACAGGGCTGATTCCAGGCTGAAGATTCAATCAACGCCATACAGTCTGGCGCGTCCTACACAATGCGTACAAGCCCCTCGCCCACGGGTCCAATTACGCCCGCAACCAGCGCCAAATCCTGTTTGTAGGCTGCTGACGAGAGCAAAAAGGCAGTTCCTGTTTGGAGGCTGCCGACGTAAGAGTCTTCCGGGGCCTATAAAAGAACCAAGTGGCGCGACGAGAGGACGCTGACAAAAGTGTAAGAGCATCCGAGAGCGTCTGAAGGCATTCAGGCTCTTCGTCACACATGAGGGCGAGCTCCGCAAGCTGTCGGCTTCAGCGCTGAATGTGTAACGCCTTTGTTTATGCTGTACTAGAATGTTCCTTAACTCATCGTCACCTTTTTGTTCTGTCTAAAGCTCTGCGCAGTTGCAGCCAGCGATTCCCAACAGTCGTAAAACAGCGCGTTACCCAACAATATATACAACATTGGTGACACTGTGAGTGCAGTTCACACTTCATTCTATAGTTCAGAGTAAGCGGGTGATTTATTTGTAGTATATTTTTACGAATATTAGGACAAACTTTGAAAAAAATAGGCATGAATGTTTCATTGTTTATCGGTATGAGGCTAAGGCAGGACACTGTAAAGACTCGCAGCGTACTAATAAACTGTTTAATGAGGCTCTCTTAGTCTACACACATGTTAAGGACACGTTTTGACGTGTCAATGTCCTTGATTCGTCTGCCCGAGTTCGTTGCCCTGGCACTCCGCCGCAGAGACGAAACCTGTAAATGGAAACACGCTGTGGCCAACTTCTTCGCTGGTACTTGCTAAGCACGTTAGTACGTCCCTCACATTTGACCTCTCCCCGGGTGACTGAATTCCTTGGTCGCACGTGGCCTCCACGCTCACTCAAGCACAAAGTTGTCTGGCTAGGAAAATGTAGTGCACACGCTGTGGTCACCGCTATTCGAAGTTGCTCATGCTGGTTTCCACTGAGACTGGAGTGGAGGGCAGCTCACAGGTAACACAGGCGCCTGGCTCAGACGAAGCGTTTACACGCTCCTCCCACAATGGTATCTGTGGAGAAACATGTTGCTGCAATAGTGTATTACTAGCCTTCTAAGTACACCTAATGTGTTGCTGTTTGCGAAGCAGGTGTCAAACATGCAGAGCAGTAGAAATCCTGACATGGGGAGGCACCTCGATCAGCACGTTGCAGAGCAGATGCACGTTTGTGTGTAATGGTCACCGTAGAAACAGTTTTCTTGCTGGTAGCCGTATATCCACCACTTTCATCCTGGCATTCAAGAAGATATATTACAGCCAAAA